GTGTGATGTTGAAGTGATGGTGAAGATATGTGATGGTGAAGACATGTGATGTTGAAGTGATGGTGAAGATATGTGATGGTGATGAAGTTATGGTGAAGAGATGTGATGTTGAAGTGATGGTGAAGACATGTGATGTTGAAGTGATGGTGAAGATATGTGATGGTGAAGACATGTGATGTTAAAGTGATGGTGAAGATATGTGATGGTGAAGACATGTGATGTTAAAGTGATGGTGATGACGTAATGGTGAAGACACGTGATGTTAAAGTGATGGTGAAGACATGTAATGGTGAAGACACGTGATGTTGAAGTGATGGTGAAGATATGTGATGGTGAAGACGTGTGATGTTGAAGTGATGGTGAAGATATGTGATGGTGAAGACATGTGATGTTGAAGTGATGGTGATGACATGTGATGTTGAAGTGATGGTGATGACATGTAATGGTGAAGACACGTGATGTTAAAGTGATGGTGAAGATATGTGATGGTGAAGACGTGTGATGTTGAAGTGATGGTGAAGATATGTGATGGTGAAGACGTGTGATGTTGAAGTGATGGTGAAGATATGTGATGGTGAAGACATGTGATGTTGAAGTGATGGTGAAGATATGTGATGGTGAAGACACATGATGTTAAAGTGATGGTGATGACATGTAATGGTGAAGACACGTGATGTTAAAGTGATGGTGAAGATATGTGATGGTGAAGACATGTGATGTTAAAGTGATGGTGAAGATATGTGATGGTGAAGACATGTGATGTTAAAGTGATGGTGATGACGTGATGGTGAAGACACGTGATGTTAAAGTGATGGTGAAGATATGTAATGGTGAAGACACGTGATGTTAAAGTGATGGTGAAGATATGTGATGGTGAAGACACGTGATGTTAAAGTGATGGTGAAGATATGTGATGGTGAAGACATGTGATGTTAAAGTGATGGTGATGACGTGATGGTGATGACGTGATGGTGAAGACACGTGATGTTAAAGTGATGGTGATGACATGTAATGGTGAAGACACGTGATGTTAAAGTGATGGTGATGACGTGATGGTGAAGACATGTGATGTTAAAGTGATGGTGATGACGTGATGGTGAGGACACGTGATGTTAAAGTGATGGTGAAGATATGTGATGGTGAAGACATGTGATGTTGAAGTGATGGTGAAGATATGTGATGGTGAAGACATGTGATGTTAAAGTGATGGTGAAGATATGTGATGGTGAAGACATGTGATGTTGAAGTGATGGTGAAGATATGTGATGGTGAAGACATGTGATGTTAAAGTGATGGTGAAGATATGTGATGGTGAAGACGTGTGATGTTGAAGTGATGGTGAAGATATGTGATGGTGAAGACATGTGATGTTGAAGTGATGGTGAAGATATGTGATGGTGAGGAAGTTATGGTGAAGAGATGTGATGTTGAAGTGATGGTGATGACATGTGATGTTGAAGTGATGGTGAAGATATGTGATGGTGAAGACATGTGATGTTAAAGTGATGGTGAAGATATGTGATGGTGAAGACATGTGATGTTAAAGTGATGGTGATGACGTGATGGTGAAGACACGTGATGTTAAAGTGATGGTGAAGACATGTAATGGTGAAGACACGTGATGTTGAAGTGATGGTGAAGATATGTGATGGTGAAGACGTGTGATGTTGAAGTGATGGTGAAGATATGTGATGGTGAAGACATGTGATGTTGAAGTGATGGTGATGACATGTGATGTTGAAGTGATGGTGATGACATGTAATGGTGAAGACACGTGATGTTAAAGTGATGGTGAAGATATGTGATGGTGAAGACGTGTGATGTTGAAGTGATGGTGAAGATATGTGATGGTGAAGACGAGTGATGTTGAAGTGATGGTGAAGATATGTGATGGTGAAGACGAGTGATGTTGAAGTGATGGTGAAGATATGTGATGGTGAAGACATGTGATGTTGAAGTGATGGTGAAGATATGTGATGGTGAAGACACGTGATGTTAAAGTGATGGTGATGACATGTAATGGTGAAGACACGTGATGTTAAAGTGATGATGAAGATATGTGATGGTGAAGACGTGTGATGTTGAAGTGATGGTGAAGATATGTGATGGTGAAGACGTGTGATGTTGAAGTGATGGTGAAGATATGTGATGGTGAAGACGTGTGATGTTGAAGTGATGGTGAAGATATGTGATGGTGAAGACATGTGATGTTGAAGTGATGGTGAAGATATGTGATGGTGAAGACATGTGATGTTGAAGTGATGGTGAAGACATGTGATGTTGAAGTGATGGTGAAGATATGTGATGGTGAAGATATGTGATGTTAAAGTGATGGTGAAGATATGTGATGGTGAAGACATGTGATGTTAAAGTGATGGTGATGACGTGATGGTGAAGACACGTGATGTTAAAGTGATGGTGAAGACATGTAATGGTGAAGACATGTGATGTTAAAGTGATGGTGAAGATATGTGATGGTGAAGACGTGTGATGTTGAAGTGATGGTGAAGATATGTGATGGTGAAGACATGTGATGTTGAAGTGATGGTGATGACATGTGATGGTGAAGACACGTGATGTTAAAGTGATGGTGAAGATATGTGATGGTGAAGACGTGTGATGTTGAAGTGATGGTGAAGATATGTGATGGTGAAGACGTGTGATGTTGAAGTGATGGTGAAGATATGTGATGGTGAAGACATGTGATGTTGAAGTGATGGTGATGACATGTGATGTTGAAGTGATGGTGATGACATGTAATGGTGAAGACACGTGATGTTAAAGTGATGGTGAAGATATGTGATGGTGAAGACGTGTGATGTTGAAGTGATGGTGAAGATATGTGATGGTGAAGACGTGTCATGTTGAAGTGATGGTGAAGATATGTGATGGTGAAGACATGTGATGTTGAAGTGATGGTGAAGATATGTGATGGTGAAGACATGTGATGTTGAAGTGATGGTGAAGATATGTGATGGTGAAGACATGTGATGTTAAAGTGATGGTGAAGATATGTGATGGTGAAGACATGTGATGTTAAAGTGATGGTGATGACGTGATGGTGAAGACACGTGATGTTAAAGTGATGGTGATGACATGTAATGGTGAAGACACGTGATGTTAAAGTGATGGTGAAGATATGTGATGGTGAAGACGTGTGATGTTGAAGTGATGGTGAAGATATGTGATGGTGAAGACGTGTGATGTTGAAGCGATGGTGAAGATATGTGATGGTGAAGACATGTGATGTTGAAGTGATGGTGAAGATATGTGATGGTGATGAAGTTATGGTGAAGAGATGTGATGTTGAAGTGATGGTGATGACATGTAATGGTGAAGACATATGATGTTAAAGTGATGGTGAAGATATGTGATAGTGATGAAGTTATGGTGAAGAGATGTGATGTTGAAGTGATGGTGATGACATGCGATGTTGAAGTGATGGTGATGACATGTAATGGTGAAGACATGTGATGTTAAAGTTATGGTGAAGACATGTGATGTTGAAGTGATGGTGATGACACGTGATGTAAAGTATGTGATGGGGAAGACATGTGATGTTGAAGTAATGGTGAAGACATGTGATGTTGATGAAGTGATGGTGAAGACATGTAATGGTGAAGACATGTGATGTTAAAGTGATGGTGATGAAGTGATGGTGATGACATGTGGTTGTAAGGGCATGTGATGGTAATGATGTGATGGTGATGACATGTGATGGTGATGACGTGATGATGATGACATGTGATGGAGATGACGTGATGACAATGACATATGATGGTATATTATTACTTTTTGGGAAACATTTTTAGATAAACCTCCAAGCTGTACGCCAAAGAACAAAAAAAGTTAGTTTCAGAATTGAATAATAAAAATAACAATAATAATGACATAAATATCACAAAATGAGTGACATTTCTGATCTCCAAACGTTATGTCCTGATGTGCTGCCCTGTCAGTTTAATTTGTATTCATATAAATTATAAATAAATATATATAGTATATAAATATATTTATTTATTGTTTGTTTGTTTGGATAAAACTTTCTTAAATGTTTGCGGGTAATAACATTATTGGGGAAAGTGATTGATCACTATTAAAAAAAGTTACAAATCACTTTACAAAAAGAAAAAAAGTGATATTCTTATATGAAGTTAAAGACTGTCACCTAAAACCCTCCATTACATAAACCATGATACTGTGGTGATACCATGGTACACCGATTGTATTAGATTTCAAGGCACTTTAATAGATAATGATGATTTTTTTTATGATAATACTTTAAAGGTTCTCTAAGCGATCCTGGGTGACGTCACTTCTTGTTGACGTTCGAACTATTGTCAAACAAAACGGAGGCTAGCTAGACCCTCCCTCCTCCTCATCCGCACACTAACCCCCCAAACCACACCCCCAAACCCTTCTTGTCGGTCATTGGCTGGAACAGTTTGTTATGTTTTGGGGAGCGGGTCGCTGCAGTTTGTTTTTGGTGCTGTTTGTGAAGCATGGGCTGTCTACAGAGATCGCGTTTCTTTACAGTGTGTTCAGGGGACAGGCAGCCAGCGGATAGTGAGGAGATGTTTGCTGTATGTGACAAAAAATGTTTTGGCCTAAAAAACACATGACATCGCTTAGAGCACCTTTAAAGAATACTATATGGCACATGCCTAAAAACATGGTAAAAATGCATGGTAATAGCACCGTTTTACTGTTTATCAGTCTGATTTTATTTCATTTTATTATTTTATTGTTTTGTTTTGTATACTTTTTGACAATCACATTAATCACTGGACATACGTAAGAAAGAAAGAAAGAAAGAAAGAAAGAAAGAAAGAAAGAAACAAAGAAAGAAAAAGCTTTTAATACATGTTTTATTATTTTGAAAAGTCAACTGGTACTTAGGCAATCTTTTGCATGAAAATCACCTATTCGAGTATGACTGATGGAATTTGCCTTGGATATAATTATTTTGCCATTATATTGATAACGTGACAGGATTCAGCGGTGACGTGACGTCACTTCCTGTACTCGGCTCCGTTAGAAATGGACGACAGTCTTCAGCTGGCAGACGGTGGATTAGCTAAAAATGTGAGTTGAATTCATATTAAACTGTTTTTAGAGATTCGTGACCAGATAGAGAGTTGTGCAGACACGGAGTAGCTTGCAGAAAGGCTCACAGTAGTCTTTCTTTCACGCCGCGTTTCAAACTGCAGGACAGTAGTGTTTTGTGGGCTAAACAGCCGATACCCTGTCAAATGAACTAACGTTAGTCACGCAGATTCCTCAACTTTAATAAACAGGACTAACATGATGTAGTGTTGTTTGTGTGTTTAAGAGAACGCGTACTTTGCGTTTGTTTCTCGTTCATCGCGTGTAAACAGAGTTGGCGCGTCCTGTTGCCATAGTAACAGTAATGGCGTCTGTGGACCACATGACTCTCTCACGCTGAACATGCATTAATAAACATCAAAATAAATCTAATAAAAAATACCAAATCATACATTTTTATTCTTTAATTGATAAAACATTAAAGAAAGCACATCTCAGTGTTCTAAAACTGACCTAATTTTCTTCTAGCAGATTGTAATTTCTAATGTCTGTTAATGTTGGGATGGATTATTCCAGAAGGTGTTGATTGACAGGTGTGCTGCTCAGAGGTTATGATTGACAGGTGTTCTGCTCATGTGTAATAGGTGGCTCGGTCAGGCAGAAGAGCTCGTCAGGCTGCTGAGATGATGAACACTGAAGACTCTCGTCAGAGGAAATCCTCTTCATCGCTCAGTTCTGTCACAGAGGTCAGTCTGCATCAAAACCAGGGGCGTAGCAGCCATTATAAAAGTGGGGGGGACAAAATGGTGTGGTGATGTGACCCAAAGGTCAGTCCTTCCAGAAAAATGCGGAGTTTTTTTGTGATTGTTGCGGGCAAAAATCCTTGATTATGCGGCGATGGAATATACAGGATATTTGCAATTTTATGTGATGAAATTGCGGGAACTTGCAAAAACTGCGGTTTGATGAAAAAGAGAGAAAAAGTGATTCCCCAACACCCTGTTCTCACTAGGCTACTACCTTAATGTAAAGAGTCCTTTCTTATTACTTCCTATGATAAGCAAACATACTACATCACAGAAAGTGCTGGAATATTTAATCTTGTTTTATTTCAGACCTTAATAAACACATGGCTCAAACTTACAAAACATTGATGAGTCAAACAAGTTCTGTGGCTTTACAAAAGGAATATGCTACAACTTCTGTAAAAATGAATAAATAAAATATGAAAAAAATGTTTCCTGTTTTACAGTTGTTGTTTTTTCAATGATGTTCATGTCGCGTAATTACGTCACTTCATAACGTTCCCATGGCAACCGGGGGAAACGGCTGCTCTCGTGTGGAGCAAACGCAACATTTTTCAACTTTCTGCTCAGATATATGTGACTTTTTTTTGCAACAAAAATGCGGGGATTATGAAATCATACAAGCCCGCATATTTTGCGTGGAAATCGGCAATTTATACGGCAAAAGTGCGGCGTATTTGAAAAAATGCCCCTGCATAAATATGCGGACTTTGGCTGATTATGCACTGAATCATGCGATCGCATAATCGCGTTTTTCTGGAGGGACTGAAAGGTGATGTTCATAATAATAAATTCTAGATGGAATAGCAATTGGCATTTTACAGCACCCTAGTGCCAATTTTGGGAACATGCCATGATAGTTTACAGCAACCTATTTTTGTGAAATCATACTCGAAATAAAAAAATATTGCAGGACTTGGGACTTTCAGACAACTGTGGACATCTATACTTTATTTTTATGAAATAAAGTTATTTTATGATATTTAGAATATTTCAGTTAAACTACACTTGAACAATAACTTTTATCTTACTAACAGTTGGACCAAAAAAAGTGTTCAATGAGTACATAACAGATTACATCTAGCCTACAGTAATTTTATACAACAGACATTTTATAAAAATATATCAATAAAACCTAAATCAATGTATTCGGTATTGGACATCAATTTAACATTGACATTAGATGTTGAATTTACATTGAATTTTGGTCACCCGACGTCGCAACCAAAATTTAACCAAATATCAACGTCTTATGACGTTGTGTGCCTGCTGGGAATAATCTGTTATGTCTCATTTAACAGACGCTTTTATCCAAAGCAACAAGTAGGAGAGCATTTAACACACACTCGGCACAATCCGGCGCGACGTGACGAGGTCCATACGGGTTCTGTTGTCTTACACCTCTTACAGCGTTACAGTAGGTTAAATCATAATAAGGAAACTTTACGTGTGATTCATGTCATCGCGACATACTGCAACAGTGTGTGTTTGGAAAAAAATGATGTAGTCCTCTGCTTTTTTTTTCTGGGGTGCATTAGACGGCCAAACAGCAAAGCGACTAAACAAACACGAAAATTCGCAAGAGCAACAAAAGATTTGAAGCTCATGGCAGACGCGCCCAATAGATGCTTCGCGCTGTGATTGGCTGAATGTTAGCTCACTCAAGTCTAAGTAACAAATCAGAGAACACGGGCGGAAATATTGGCGCGGAGTAAAAAAAAAATGCGGGGGACAGAATCACCTGTTTCTAAAAGTGGGGGGGACGTGTCCCCCCCGTCCCCCCCGGTTGCTATGCCCCTGATCAAAACAACCACATTTTACTGAATTTATGAATGTTAACCAAAGAGAAAAACTAGGGATGCTCCGATCGATCGGCCGGAGATCGGTATCGGCCGATCATCACATTTTATGACTCGATCGGTACTCACTCAACTTGGCCGATCTCACAAACCGATCACAATTTGATGACGTCAAAACGTGAGGAGGTAGCCTATATGATGCGTGGGGACTTAAATGATTTGGCAGTCATGTCATCGCCGGTGTGGAATTAGGCTGCTATGATGTGTCGAGAAACAATGAAAAAAATTTGCTATTTGCCGTGTATGTTTCAAAGGAATCTCACATGGAGGAGTCATTGTCCTCCAGAGAGAGCGCCTTTTTGAAGAGTATGCTTCGCTCGCTCAGTCCACAGCGCCACTCGCTCAGGACGCCCGCAGTGACATGCTGGTTAGAAAATATGTTAAATAAGTTGGGCTGCCCGTGCACGACTAAAGTTTTTTTCTAGTCGACTAGTAGTAGCCTAGTTCATTTAAGCCATTAGTCTAATCGCATATCTATATTAATTTAATTAAATATATATGGGAGAAAATACTAAACCATAATGAGCGTCATCATAATAGGCTATATTCCGCATATCAAGCGCATGCATAAAGCTTGCCACAAAGAACCGGCAAAAGTAATGTTTATGCAGCATGATACATTTTAATTGTTTATTAATAAACTGCAAAGATACAGTTGGCGATGTTGACGCCATCTTCGCATAGTGAACGTGCTTATAGAGAGAAATGCACACTTCATACGGATTAGCCTACATAAGCAGAGAGTAGCCCATTTATTATCGATTTAAATAGTTTTTTTTTTTTTAAAGTAGACATTTCAAGCCTGAACTATACGTTCTCAGGTATGTGAGGCAAGTTGAGGTTCGGTTCACTTATGAGACGCGCTCCAGTTAACGCGCCGGCGTGTCCGTGTCCTGATTATATTGTCTGCTATATTTCGCTTATTATTTATTAAATCCAGGCAAATGGTTGATGAAACATAGTTTGAAATTAAGATACAATTTTTACAAAATGAAATTCACTTTAAAGAATGGCTTTCTACAAAACAAAACTTAATTAAGTGGTCAAAATCATGTCTGACCCATTCCAAATGTTTTCCGATATATTGGGCATCTTATGATCCTATCTTACTCATCTCATGCAGTTCCTTTTTAATATAATCAACATATATGACTTAAAAAAAAAAAAAAAGAACACTATATTAGTCCGTCAATTTATTGTCCACCGTGTTACTTTTGACTACTTTCCCTTTAAATGAAAGTTGGAAAAATTAAATGACATCTTGAGTTGTCAAAGTAATCAAATGTTAAATTTGATTAAAAGTCTCCAATTGTAAAAATTAAATACAGATTAATGCTTACATTTAAAGTTACAAAACTTATCCCGTCAAGAGCAGCGAGTGATTTTCTCTTTGCCTTTTGTTCTTTGATGAACATGACAGCTCAGGAATATCAGGCTGCGGGACTTTCAGAGCTTATGCATTGATCCAGTGTACTGTTACACAACACGCCGTTTCTTTTTCAACTATTTAGATTCCAAAATTGACTGTATTTACCTCAATTTGACATCATTTTGAATGTATTTGACCGTATAAGCGCAATAAGTCACGAAGAAGAAGTAATTTGTGTACTCATGAGCTGTTTGAGAGTGCCACATTTACATCAGTGGTTCACGTGCTTGTGGTGATCGAGCAAAACCTGCCGGAATTATTAGAATTATGCGCAATTCAATCGGAGCGAGTGAGAGGAAGCGGGCGTGTGTTTATTCGCCATAGCAGAGAAGAGAGAGCGAGAACCATAGATATCCATAATAAAGGCTAGATGTCTTACGGCGAGTCTCTATTGTCATCACCGGCGGCCATCTTGTCACAGGCAAGCTTTCTGGTGGGCTCTGTGGTGCCTGATGTAAGATGAGTGATCAGCACGAACACAAATACTCTTCTCGACGGAAATCTTGACGGATTTACAAACGGTTTAGTTTCGTACAAACGTTATTAACGTGGCTATAATTCTGGATGATTATTTATTTATACACTTATTATTCATAAGTATGCAGTGTCTTAACTACATTTACATTTACATTTATTCATTTAGCTGACGCTTTTATCCAAAGCGACTTACAATTGCTATATATGTCAGAGGTCGCACACCTCTGGATCAACTCAGGGACACATTGGTGTCTCACAGTGGATTCGAACCCAGGTCTCTCACACCAAAGGCATGTGTCTTATCCACTGCGCCATCACAACCCCACAACTACATCTCTGACGTTTATAACAAACCAAACCGTTTGAAAATCGGTAGAAAATTGAGCATGTTATGGTTATTTAAAAAGTACATGCACCATTAAAACACAATGTTACGAGTGAGCGAGCTGCCTGTGGCAAGATGGCCGCCAGGTGCGGACGTCCACCTCCATTGGCCAGCAGCGCGGACGAGACATCTAGCCTTTATTATGGAGATCTATGGCGAGAACGCACAGCTGGTATCGGTGTATCGATACTGCAGAAAAGGACTAACTATCTCAAATCTTTTTTACGATTTAAAAAAATATTTTCTTATTCCAGAATCGATATTAAGGCGAGACACGGCAGGCAAAAACACAGGGTTTTTTTTCACTGGTCAATTTTGAGATTTTGGGCTATTTGTCTTCAATAACATGTCTTCTTTCAGACTTGTGGTGAAAAAAAGTCCAAAATACACATTTAGGTCATTATTTTACTACACTGTGTCTGTTTGCGTCTGTAGATTTCTCCTAAATTCATCAAAAGTTGGCGATCTGAATCCTCCCGCTGCTCCTCGATCGCCGCCTGCACCGTCATCACACACACCGCTAGAAAGCCCTCTCTCTCCTGTACAATGCTGTCGGATCCAAATATGGTCATTTCCTTTTTATCAGCAACCAATCGTGAAAGTAAAAGGGGGGATTTATTTAACTGTAAAAGCGAAATATCATTGGCTGATGTCAATTCTTTAAAGGTCGTTTTCTCAAAATGGGGTTTTTCTCATTCTCTGAGCCAGAAATCTCCACCTCAGCAGCACTTACATACACCCAACTCTCCAGTTGTATTCCTATCTATATTCTTGTATATATATTCTATAT